AGCCTTGACCATGTAACGTCTGTCACTGTCGGGTAGATATGTGCACTCGCTGAGGAAATGCCTTATATCTGAGCGGCCGGCTTGCTTACAGAGGGGACAAACCTTGCCTGGCCGAGGCCTTCTGGGGCCTGGGCTCACCGGGCCTTTGCTACTCGGTGGAGTGCGATGGTATTCATTACCGACCGCCGTACGGAGAATCTTTGCATCGTCAGATGCTTGAATCTCTTCCAGTAGGGAAGTAAGGGCCTGTGATATTTCTGGTTTGATAGAAGCGAGTGTTCGGGACCTCACTTCAGTACCATATCTTTGCTTGACAAGCCTAGGCAAACTCGGGTGGATAAGCTTCAACCATGTGAGTACAACAAGGTTTTCCAATGTTGGGTAGAGCTCTTCGTCTTCTTGCAGTGACTCACCGTGATAACTTAGACCACTGGTTCGAAGGAGTGAGTCCTCAACAAAGGCCATAAGGCGCTGGTATAGATCTTCAGGGCGCTCGCCTGCCTCAAGTTGCATATCAGAAAAATCAATAAAGTGAGCCCCTTTGACTTGGAAGCCAAAGTGCTGTCTGATCGTTTGCCAAATAAACTTTAGAGAGGTCGAGTTTTTAACTAAAGTGCGCCTTGAAATAATTGGACAGTAGTTAGCTATTTGGCCAAGCATAAGCTCTAGAAAGCTAACCTTCTGCTGAGCAGTTAGACGTTTTCGTCTTCGAATCCTCTTAGTGGCTGGGCTTTCGTCTTTTTCAGCCAAGTAACTCCTTCAGCCAGAAAAGGGGCAAAGTTATTATCCAAGGACAAGCAGTATAACAAGTTCTGCTTCCAATTCTCAAAGCTGTTAATCGTCTCCACCTTTGAAAGGCACCACTGCTTCGGTACACGCGGAGTTGAAGCCATTCTGTATTGTGTAGAACAGGGATTCGTGCTGGAACAACGGCAGGATACGCTGCTGTTACGCTCGGTTTTTCGGACTGATTTTAGCTTGGACGAGGAATAAAAGAAGGCCTAGGTACGACCACAAGCTGCCACCACGCCATCGAGAAGGGTATACCGGGAGAAACGGCACGAATCACTTGAGTAGAACGGCTTTATTCCGGGGTGGATAGCACGACCGCAACTAAATACAAGATGGCGGACCAGGAATCTTATAGACCATGACTCTTAATAGCAATTGCCCTAATTAACATAAGAAACGGAAAAAGTGAAGGATTCTGAAGATTGTAGTCAAATGACGCCATTACGCAAATCGCTTATTGATGTGATAATACTGAATCGTCATGTCTGAAATCGTGGAACGTTTTGAGAAAAAAGCAAGGTTTGAAGATGACCACGAAGCGGTATTGATTCGAGAGAAACTCGAGCGATTTGTGGCCAACATCCTGGCAGCGGTGGAAAAGCGAGACAAGCGATTTCAGAGCACTCTTATTCAAAGCGGAAGTGTTTACGAAGGAGTGAAAGTTCGCCGTCCAGATGAATTTGACTTCATGATCAGAACTGACTCACTCACCGACAAACCATTGTTTCATCCATGTGACAAAGGCGAAGGCTACACGAAGCTCCTCCTAAAAGAACAAGAATGGGAAGAATTCAACGATGGTGAAGGATTCTTCAACCCAAATCTGCTGTCCCGTTTGTTCAAGAAGCTTGTCAATGCATCTCTAAGTGACGCCGAGCTACCTGAAGGACTGGCCATCCAACGAGTTAACCAAGAATTGTTTAGGAAAACATGGTGGCCTGTGTTTTCTGACATACTAGGAAATAGCGATGGCCAAGAAAGCTCATCTGGTGTGATGTACTCGGAAACGCACGGCCCGGCTACAACACTTTACATTCAGTGGCAAGGCGGTAATAGTTATAGGAATTTAATGATAAGCGTTGATTTGACACTGACTTTGGATTACCAAAAATGCAAGCTTCCTGTTCAGTTGTCCAAGCTTCCACAAGAAATAGGACAAGTTCTTCAGAAGTGTGGATTCCACGTTGTTCCTGCTGGATATGACAGCTGGCGCATCTCGTTTTCCATAGCAGAAAAAGAAATCCTGGCCTCTTCTCCGGACGGTTTCAAAGCGTGTTACCGAGTTCTGAAAGTCCTGAGAGATGAGATATCGGAAAGGCTGGGATGGGATTCATCTTTGGTTCCATCTTACATGTTCAAGACCATCCTTTTTTCCGAGCTGTCCACAATGGACCGTTATCTGTGGGGAAATAAATTTTGGTCTCAAAGGATAAGTCAAGTTTTGGAGCTGGCTTGTGAGGGCGTGAAGAGGGAGAAAATTTCGAGCTTTTTCATACCCAGACACAATCTACTGACGGTGGCTGATCACGAGAACAAACTGCGCCAGTGTGTCCTGGAAGACATGTTAAATCAGATGAAGGGTTTGGAATTGGCATACACACCAGATAACGCCAGGGAGAGAAAACAACAGATCAGGGTGCTGCAAATGACGGACTTGCTGGATTCCATGATCTCAGGTCTCCTTGCTGGAAACATAGCGAGCCAGACGTTCTTAGCAACCAAAAAACAGACCTGGGATCCCGTGGAGATGTAGGACTTTTAGTCCTACATCTCCACGGGATATCCAATGGCTTACAACATTCCAGTGTAATCATATCCCTGTCGGTGATCGTTTATGTTCCACAAAACGCGTCAAGTTTTGCACGAATGTGTCATAATCCTAAAGT